AGCCATCAATGCCATCTTACTTGATCTAGTTACCTAAGAAAAAGCCAGGACACCAATGTCCCTGTGCATCTGCTCTACCCTTCTTGGCTGCATTTCACAAGTCTGTCTTGATGGCTTAACTCCAGTCCTTTGGTCTGAGTAGGGAGTGGTGGCCAGTCTCCAACCCTGGTTATAGAATCTTGGGTTTCTGTCAACTATGATGTAGACAGGAGTGGTCAGTGGGCACTTTGGGGAGGGGCTCCGGGATCCATTTCTAGGGAAAGCCGACAAGCCAGCCAAGTTGGTGTAATCTATGCTGTGTCATTCATTGGCTTGATCCTAGACAGTCCCTCTCTGCCTCCATTTACCCAGCTGTACATAGTAAATAGAATTTGCCTGCAGGGTTGTGGTGGAAAAAAGTGGGAAAATACTTAGAAAGTTCCAAACACAAAGTCACATAAAAGGGCAGCTTCATGCAATCTCACTCCCAGGTGGTACCAATGTTTTAACATGAGTTCCAAATTGCTACTCTGAGGTCAGTGGTCAGTGCAATGGGGGCTGTTTGGGAGGAAGGCTCCTGGAGCCCTCTGGGATATTTCTGTCAACTTGATACTGTTTCTGTGTGAGGCTGTCTCAGCTGGGCTAGTCCTCAGCTGTTAGGACACAGGCCTTCATGTGGGTTCTTCCCCTCTGACTTAGACTGATGCATTTCCAGTTCACAGAGGTTTCCTGTGCCTCCTCCGTCCCCTTACATTTCCAGTGGGCCTTTCTCTCCCTCAGCTTAAATCTCAGATGTCTAGCTAAGCCCCTTCAGAAGAGTTCCTGATCAAAAAGGCCCATGGCAGTTACAAAGGCATTTGTCACCCGACAGTTTGACTCCTCTGTCGACTCTCATGATAACATCACCAGTGGCCCCTGAGCCAACGTAGTACATTCTTCAAACGAGAAGGTGGTTTAGGGGTTCTTATTGTAGGCTCAGCGTGGATCTCTTATGCCTAGTAGGCTATGACTGAGAGGCACAGGGGCTAAGAGGTGGGGATCAGAATAGCAGTGGGTAAGGCCATCTGTCACCACCAGTCATAAGGTTGTTGTTGAATATCATTTTAACTGGGCAAATATGTTACATTTGTTTATGCTGCATTTGTTCAATGATGTAAGGATGTGTGTTTAATTATGTAAAGATGTGTTGCATTTGTTTATGCTGCATTTGTTCAATGATGTAAGGTTGTGTTTAATTATGTAAAGATGTGTTACATTTGTTTACGCTGCATTTGTTCAATGATGTAAAGATGTGTGTTTAATTATGTAAAGATGTGCTGCGTTTGCTATACCTTGCCTGCCTAAAGCACCTGATTGATCTAATGAAGAGCTGAACGGCCATAGGTAGGCAGAGAAAGGATAGGCAGGGCTGGCAGGCATAGAGAATAAATAGGAGAAATCCAGGCTTGAAGGAAGAACAAGAGAAGGAGAAGAGAAGGGGAGAACAAGAGGGACATGCCTGGAGCAAGAAGCCAGGTGGCTGCCAGCCAGCCACAAGAAGCAGTGATAGTAAGATACACAGAAGGAAAGAAAGGTAAAACTCCCTGGGGCAAAAGATAAGAAGGAGAAACAGGCTAATTTAAGTTAAAAGAGCTAGCCAGAAAGGAGCCTAAGCTAGGCCCAGCATTCCTAACTAATAAGTAGTCTCCATGTCATGATTTGAGAACTGGTTGGTGGCCCAAAAGAAAGCCTGGTACATAAGGTCTCCAGAAATTGTCATTCTTTTTATTCTTTTTTTAAAAAAATCTTTGTGTGTGTGTGTGTTTGCATGTGTGTAATGTGCATGCATGTTCACTCATGTAAGCAAGCACACATGTGCAGGTCAGGGAACAGCCTTGTATGTCCTTGCCTTCCAACTATTTTTGACAGGGTTTCTTTGTTGTTTGCTACCCTGTGTGTCAGGCTAGCTGGTCTCCTAGCTTCTGAAGCTCCTTGTCTCTGCCCTTCATTTATCTTACCCAGACTACAGATGTGCATGACCATGCCTAGCTTCACGTGCACTGTTGGGTTTCAAACTCCAGTCTTCATGCTTGCACAGCGAGCCCTTTAGTCACTGAGGCATTTCCTTAGCACTCATGTCCCCATTAGTCTTTGAAGAAAACATTACTGAGGTTTCTGACTAAAAGGGGGATAATAAGCCTCCACTCTGCCCTCTCACGAGGTAGAGCAGAGCAGTCAGGCTCTGCACAGGAAGTGGGCTTTGGAAACCATGTCTTGACTGCAGCAGAGAATGGGGCCCTAGCAAGGAATACTCGACATGTCATGGCCCATGCTGCTGTGTGCCTTGGGCACAGAAGAGGTCTCAGTAGATGTGGCAGGGAGTGCCAGTTGCCACCCAGGCCCACTCCTTCTTAGGGCCACGGTGTATTCTGTTTCCACCAGAGCTGGACAGTGCCCTGTGATGAGGCTCTGGTCACAGGTAGATAATAAAGCTGTTGTGTAGAACTTCAGGGAAGGGTGCCTGAGAGCGATTGATAAAGGGGATAGTTGTCCTGCCTCTGGACTTTAAGCAAGATATGCAACCTGTCATTCTGGAAACCACCTTGAATGTAGTGTGGCTTTCAGGACAGTGGATATGCTGGGAGACCACAGCAGCAAGATGAAGTGTGGATCTTGACTTTCTTTACACGAAGAAATAGATATGTGAAGTATCGTTTAGAGGATTTTATCTTGCAAAATTGTAGGAATTGCCACAGCCGGGATTTTCACTTTGATACACTTAAGATCTCTTATGTTGGTCTGGGAAGATGGCTCAGTGGCTAAGACAACTGACTGCTCTTCCCAGAGGACCTGGGTTCATTTTTCCCAGAACCCACATGCTGGATAACAACTATTTGTAACTCCAGTTCCAAGGGATCTAGCATCCTTTTTTGGCCTCCAAGAACACTGTATGCAGGAGGTACACTAACACACAGGCAAAATACTCCTATGCATATTTTTTAATCTAAAAAAATAGTTACTTGTGTGTTTTCACTACCATGACCATGTCCCTCCTGTTCCTACAGCTTCCTTGACCTCTAGAGAAGCCCTTCCTAGGCCTGAATCTTGATGACAACAGCATGTCATCCCAGACCTGGACCACTTACCCATGGGGACATAAACATCTATATTAATTAAATAGTATGCTTTAAAAAATATCATGCCGCCAAACCTCACCCTATACCAAGGACAGCAGAAGTTCAGAAATGAAGGCTAAAATGTCATTGCTACCTTAGAGTAAAGGAGAGACTAATGAAGGTAACTTCAAAGATGCTGGACACCTCAGCTAACATAAGAAGTCTCAGGGACTGATGCCATCACAGACCACTCAGTTCCACTGGCTCCTGGCAGTGACTGTGGCTTTCATGAGATGCCTCTGCTTTCTTCTCTTATCTTGCCGAAGGACCATGTATAATGTATGTTAAACTATTCTTCTGGCTGCCACAGATATTTACAGGCACCAGGTGCATCCCAGCATCTGATTGGATGGTTCATGGAGGTGGCAGCATTTCTCTAGGGGGACATTTCTTTTTTGGCTTGGTTTTGTTGGTTTTTTAAAAACGTGATATTTATTAATTCTCTAAGGATTTCGTACATGCATGCAATGTACTTTGATCATATTTACCTGCATTCACCCCCCAACTCCTCCAGATCCATCCTACCATCCCACTCTCATACCTGCCCCCACCTTTGTCTTTACATATCCCATGAAGTCTAATTTATGCTTCGCCTAAACTCATATGTATGTGGACATCCACTGGAGTGTGGTTAACCTACCAAGGGTTATACCCTTAAAGAAAACTGGTCTTCCCTCCCCAAAAGCCACCAAATGCTAATAACCCCTCAGTTACATGTGCAGACCCTCTGGGGGAGGTGCTATCGGGTTGGCTGCTTTGGTCTTGTATAGGTCTTGTGGAGGCAACTACAGCTGTAAGTTCGTGAGTTCAGTGGCCCTAACATGTCCAGAAGACACCATTGTCAGGTCCTCCTTGACTTCTGGCTCTTGCTATCTTTACAACCCTCTCCTTCAGTGGTCTCTGAAAATTAGAGGCAGGGGTTAATATAGATGCTCCATTTGTGGCTGAGGGCTCCATAAACACTTGTTCTCTGCACTTTGACCAGTTGTGAGTTTCCTTGTTAACTGCCAAACGGTCTGAGAGCTGCACCAATCTGTGAGTATAAAGAAGTGAACTTGGAGGGAGCTTGATATTGGTCCGTTTAACAGTATAATCGTGGTAGCTTCACCTCTGGGCCTGTGAGCTCCTCGGCCATGAGTCCTTGGCTAGATTCTTGGTATCAAGCAAGTATCTGTAGAGTGGACCTTAAATCCAAATAGAAAGTGTTGTAACTTTTTTAAAAAGTGGGTTGAGAGAGAAAGACACCATTTGACAGAATTCAAGAGGAGAGGTTTTTTATTAAAGGGGAGACTGGCCTCTGGGGACAGGAACAGTGGGAGAGAGAGGGAGAGAGAAAGAGAAGAACAGACAGAGAAAGTGAGAGAAAGAGAGAGGGATGGAAGGTGGGCAGGGCCCTTTTAAAAGTGAATGTGCACAGGTGGTGCTCTTGGTGGCTGCAGCTGAGGTCGTATCCTGTCAGAACCCCGAGGACAGGCCAGTACAGATGCCTGAATACTAACAGAAAGAGATTAGTTATTCCCATAACATTTGTACCACCATTGCACCCATGGGCATATCTTACCATGCTGGTTTTTATTGTAGCTTACAGGATTCCCAGTTGGGTAAGAATATTGGTGACCTGTAGCCTAAACTGCCTTTGAGCATGGGCCAGTCCTCCCACCTTGACCTCCTGAGCACTGGGATCACAGGTTAATACCACCATGCCTGGGCTCCCTTGGGGGTTCCGGTTCTGATTCTCATAAAGAGACTAGTCGAGGAAATGTAGCTGGATGTCCTCAGTGAGTTGATGTGCCATGACTTGCTGTACCCCACAGAGGTTTGGGGGCCTGTCTCGGCTGCCTGCTTACGTTGTGTTTCCCTTTCCAGGTGCTGGTGTCAGAGAGGATGTGTTTCTCATTTGGAGAGAAATGGAAGAAGCTTGCAGCACACTGGCTCAGGTTCGGAGGCTGATGGACAAGTCTCCTCAGTCAGATGTGTCCCCAGCAGACTGCAGTAGGTGCTGTTTATGTATGTGTGTAGTTCAATGGCTGTGATGTTGGTGGCTGGGGACGCGCAGGTGGGAGGGTTGGAGTCCCATGCTTCTAAACAGAACTCCTTAGCTCAGCTTGGAGGCATTGCTGGGGAGAGTCTCCGGAGCTGTGGGGTGTGTGTACATATGTGGACACACCCCCCCAGAGATATGTACACACACATGCTTTTGCTCATTCCCAAAGAAGAATCAGGACTGGACAGTAGTTAAGCTATAAAGGCAGGAACTGCCCATAGGAAGAGGAGGAATCAAGACTTGGTAGAGGCCTGGGCTCAGTTCTGCACACAGCACAGACATCTATAGTGTGGGGTTCCTTAGACATCTATTCCTTAGAGGAGACAGGATGAATAAGAAGGCTTCAGTCTAGACTGCCACAACAGGATTCTTACTGAAGGCCTGATCAGATGTGGTGAGCATGAGGAATTCCATTGAAATACTGAACTTGATATTTTATCAGTTGGGGGTGGAGATCCTGGTTGTAGCATTATATTAAGATTTGTGCTAGCTCTGCAGAGTTGAAGTCCAAAGATTGAGGATATTTGAAAAGAAGACGCAGAGAAGTGCAACTCAAGCTTAGTCAGGGGGTAATCTTCCAAGAGGCATGTGGGGGTTTTCTTTGTTTATGAGACAGGGTTTCTTCATGTCACCCTGGCTGCTCTGAAACTCACTATGTAGACCAAATTGGTCGAAACTCAGAGATCCGCCTGCCTCTGCCTCCCAAGTGCGTGTGCCCCTTCACCTGGCGGGGCATGTGAGGCCTCATGGATGGCCTTGCCTGCAGACCGAATCACATCCAACTGACTGGCAGGCCATCATCCGCTCACCTTCACACAACCACAAAGGAAGCTGCATGTGTTACACTCATTGCATCCTGATGTAAGGCCACTGCTCTTCTTTGAGCAGCAGAAGTTTACTTGTTGAATGTGGATGCAGTTTGGGTGGGATAGGCTTTGTAGCATATTGCCACTATTGAAAAGAAGTCACTGAAACATACTTGCACTTCTCAACCTTTGGAGAGTAGCAATGGCAACCGTCGTGTGAACTATTTCTGAGGAGACATGGGCAAAAGTCTATTCTCCCAAGATAGCAAGCACATGACAGACCAAAGTAACAACACTACCAAAACCCAACTTGGTGAATGCATGAGTTATTGGAATTACTTACAGGAATAGGGATAACCCAAAGGCAGTGCCTTGCTGAAGGCACACACTGGCAATGGGTGACAACTCACCAGGAGCTCTCTGCCCTCTGCCGGCAGCTCTACAGATCTGAGAGCCTCTTCTAGGATGAACTGTAGGTCTGAAATTCGATAATGATCTGTAAAACCCTCCATTTCAACCTAACATACCCATATCTCCCAAAGAAAACAACTCTAAGCAGCCATTTAAAAAATACTCAGGATGTACCATTTATATTATAAGGGGAAATTTGATCATGATCATTCTTCCACTGGGTAGTCATCTAAGCCTTTGTCTGAATTTGACTCCAGCATCTTCACGGAGGATGTCTGACTACCCCTTTCCTAGTCACAGCCCATGGTCAGTGAGGCAAAGACCCCATGTCTGCTTTGTGGGAAGGTGGCTATTCCCTCAGTTTGACTGCTCAAGACCTAAAGACTGAAGGAGATAGCGGTGGGGGGTGGGAAAGGGAAGGCTTGGATTGTCATTTGTGTAGACTGCAGATGAATTAGACAAAGGGTCTCTGGACACCAAGCAACAAGGCACAGGGCAGAAGAAAGGTGCCATTGCTCTTCCCTGTTGATTGCCTCAGGAGGCCGTGAGACATGGAGGAGGAAGCCAGGAGGAGCTTGTCAAAACTTGCCAAGTTTGCAGAGACAGAGCTTGGAGTCTGGAAGGCACAAGGCAGCTGCAGCTCACAGCGGAGCGTGCCAGAATGGGAAGAGACGCATAAGCAAAGAGGCATGTAGAGGCTCCTCCTTGAGAATCAGTTCGCACTCGGAAGAAAGGTGTCTGACAGGTGGGGGCTACCGGAAGGAATAGGAAGAAAGACAGATAGTCCTCACACAGCCTCAGGAACAGAGTCAGAGGACCCTGTATCTTATGGGGGGGTCCTTAAGACTACTTGGGAAGGTCTTAACTTCAGTGGTCGGGAATGATGAGCCTCAAGCAGAACACTGCTCTGGGCATTCCTCAGAAGCCATCAAAGTGAGACGTGAAAAAAAAAAAAAAAACAGTTTCCAGGTAACATAACTACATCTCACAATAGAGCTCAGAGAGATTTGCAAGGCACAGAACTGTTCAGCACGTACCAAGACCAAATTCACAATGACTGGCATTCAGTCAAAGACTATTGTGCAGGAAAAGAAGCAAGAAAAGGTGACCTTTGAAGAGGGGAAAAAAATCAGTCAGTCAAAATGGACAGGGGAGAGGCAGAATGGTATGGCAGCTGAGAGAGATGTTCGGGTAATGGCCTCCTGTGCTGGTTAGTTATACAAAGTAAAGTCACCGGGAGAGAGGCAACTTTAATTAAAGAATTGCCTCTATCATATTGGCCTATGGGCATGTCTGTGGGGCATTTTATTAATTGATAGAGGAGGGTCCATTCTGCTGTGGGTGGTCCTTTCCCTAAGCAGGTGGACCTGGGCTGTATAAGAAAGGTAGCTGAGTGAGCGAGCCAGTAAGCAGGGTTCTTCTGTGGTCTCTGCTTCTGTTTCTGCCTCCAGGCCCCAGCCTTGAGCTCCTGCCCTGTCTTTCACTGATGATGGACTATGATGTAGACATATAAGCCAAATAAATGCTTTCCTCCCCCAAATTGCTTTGATCAATGTTTTAATCACAGCAATAGCAAAGAAAGCAAGGCAACTGGCCCTCATCACTACTTCTTTGATTCTGAGTAGCCCAGCCTGAGATGCCTCCCTGATGGGTGGAGGGAGAAAGAGTTATGCCCGGGCCTTAGACTTGAAACTCAGTACAGACCTGCCACAATGAAACAGTGGTGGGCAAAGCTATGTGATACCTACCGCTAGGCCACTACCCGCAGAATGGGCAGCTGAACTGTGTGGGGCCATGTGACTGACTGCTTCCATTAACCCTTCTTTAACCCTAGCTGCAGAGCAGGGAGTAAGACATAGCTCACCATGGGGAGAGGCCAGAAAGTTAGTCCAAAAGATTTGTGGTAGTGCTCAATTGCAAGCTCGATGCAGTAAGACCCAGCAGCTAGTAGGAACTGGAGGTGGGCCCGAGCTCAAGGATGGAGCCTCAGGAAGAGAAGAGACCTGTGTGCTAATGGGACAGACTCTAGTTTTAGCCACACTGTATCTGGTTTGAGAGTGGGTTCGAGCACACCCCCTCCTGAGCCAGTGCAGATTCCTGTCACTAGGAAAACCAAGTGCAGCCCATCTTACCATCACTGTTGATGGCCAAGGGACTGTCTCTACCATCCCCATCCCACAACTTGGGTATCACAACTATTACCAGACCACTGCTTAGAGACAGGGACACAACTGTTCTACCAACCTGGTAGAGACTTGTGCCCCAAGGGGATATACTTGAGTTTTGGGTTACATCTCTGCCAGCTGTGTGATAGGCCTCAGATACCCAAGACTGTGTGAGTACTTCCAGCTGTGAGACTCAGAGGTAGCTTGGCTTAGCATATGCTAAGATGGTTAAGGGACTGCATTCACCAACATCACCCCAATCTAGAATGGCATGGCATCACATTTGATGTGAGTAAGACAATCAGAATCAAAAGACTTTCTGGAATTGAGTGCTCAGCTGGTCAAACTGAAGGCTAGGCATATTCTAATGGCCTCCATCCCAGATCTGCCAGTAGATGGGACCTCTGTGAAGTATTTGTAGTGCTAGAAGACACACCACACTGGGACATGGATCACTGTCTCAGCTGCCATTGAATATGGTGGTGGCAATGGTTGTGGATCAGAGATTCACAGGATCAGCTGGCAATCCATAGCCCTGTGGGCCTGGGCTGTAGCCTAGTTGTTGGGCTGGTCTTGGCAGGTTGTTGGATTAGGGTGTACAAAGGTTGGTGATGTTAGTAGCCATAGTTGCGACTAGGGAGACATAGCTTGAGACTAATCACACACTGTGACTATGGTCAGAGCCAGACAGAATCCTTCTGTGTCTGCCCTCGGGCTGGTGACTATGAATGAGACATGTGGACCTTTCTAGGTCACAGGGCGTGGCTTGTGAGGACAGCCTACTCACTTGATGTGCTGTCTTGGTTCTTGCTGAACAACACACAATCAGCATATTCAAGAAATCTGGGCTTGGGTTGCCCTTTGATCCTGAAACAGTGACTACATGCTGACAGCAGACTCATGGCTTATCTCTACCTGGGTGCCACCCAGTGCTGAATTAATGAAAGTGACCACATGATTTCATATGTCAATATGCATCTAGTAGGTATGTCCAACCTTTTTGACATTGAGACATGTTATTGTCATCTACAGGATTCATGCTCAGGGTGTTTTAAATATGTGTGTGTGTATGTGTTTTGCCTGCAATTATGTCTATCCACCCTATGCATGTCTGGTGCCCATGGAGGCCAGAAGAAAACATTAGATTATCTGGGACTGGAGTTACAGATGTCTATTAACTACCATGTGGGTGCTGGGAATTGAACCAGGTCTCCTAGAAAAGCAGCCAGTGCTCTTAATCACTGAGTCATTGCTCCAGCCCCTCACAATGTTTTAAAATGTTTCTGATCTTGCGTTGGGTTGCATCATAGCTATCCTGGATGGTGGCACCCATCCGGGTGACATGACACCTGGAAAGTAAACAATGGATCAATGATAAAATCAAGAAGAAAATTAGTTTTTTTCCCCTGACACCACATATCAAAGCCTACAGCAGAAGTGCTATCAAAGTGAGAGTGTATACCAACTTGTGCCCCCACTGGGAAAGTTGGAAGATCTAAGACTGCTTATCACTGCCTCTCCAGGAGCTGGAGATGGGAGAACTAGCCATGCCACACATGAATATAA